AAAAACTCTGGTTCCAGCGGCCCTGGGTGACTCCTTATGCCCATTCAACAACTAGGACACAGAGGTCAGGGGGACATTCCTGTGGCCCCAGGTGTCCATCTCTGTCTGGCCACCATGCCCTGCTGAGGATGAGGCCAGGGCCAGAGCTAGTGAGGTGGCCGGGAAGGGGGAAAGGGCCGAGGGCAGCCCAGCGTGGTGATTCCACTTGTTCGAAAGACCATGGCTCCCTGCTCCATCCACCATTCCATGGATCTGCTGCCACTGCCTCTGAATGCTGCTGCTGCTGCTGCTGCTGGTGCTGCTTCCACTTCCTGGCCTTAGCCTGCACCAGCACAGGTGAGTGAAGGATCTGCCCTGCTGAGGGACTCAAGTGCAGGACTCCTCCAGCTCTTTCTGGAGTGCCCAATCCTGCATTCCTTCCATGGGGCCCAGGAGCTCTATTTCCCCAGCCCTGCCTTGGGGGAAAATAGGGCCTAGGTATCTCTCAGCCTCACCAGGGTCTAGGAGCCCTCCCCACACTTTATAACCTCCTCCTGTCCAGGCCCTCCCTGCTACTGGCCTGTGGTCCTGTGAGCTGCCCTTCACTCCATCCATCCTGGAGACCGAGATGGCACCAAGTGGGGGCACTGGGTTGGGAGAAAAATGGGCAGAGAGCTGAGCCTGGTGAAGTGTGGTGTCTTTTTACACCACCCCAGGATGCCTTGAAGGGTTCCCTCTGTGGCTACTTACTTCTGAGGTGCACAGACACACACATGCACAAGAGAAAGAAACAGACACTACAAGCCTACACACAGGCATGGAACCACCTACAGCATCATCTGGGACTCAGGTATAGGGCTCATGGACAGGCTCACTGCAGACTCAGACTACCAGACATAGCCAATGACACTGAGAGGAATACACACACACACCACACACACACACACACACACACACACACAGATACACACACGAGGGATACACACACACAAAGGGTACACACACTCCTTCAGGGTCACATGAAATAGCCCACATGAAACAACCTCAACACACACTGGACACACACACACACACACACGGAAAACACACACATACACATACAGGTAAGACAGGAACACCTAAAGGAGCTCACAGATTCCCACACACATGCAAACCAATACACACACAGACAGGAAACACAAGATGCATACAGATATCCCTCAGGCATACATGTGACCCAACAATATAATATAGCCACAGACAGAGAATTACACAGCAAACATACCTCATTCAGAGACACAGACACAGATACACATGCATACACAGAAGACTCTTGGTAGTCGAAGGCAGAAAACTCATGTCCACAGTCACTATACCCACAGACACAGAACTCACAGGGGCACAATGCAGATTACACACACACACACACACACACACACACACACACACACACACCCCGTCAGGACAGCTCTGGCACTCCAGTGGAGAGGCAAACAAGAAGGGTGCACAGACTCCGGCATGACCTGCCACATCTCAGTTGTCATTGAAGGGGTGTTTTCATGGATTCAACCCACTGCTGGGCACCTGCCCCATGTCAGTGCCCAGGGTTGTGCCTAGGCCTAGACTCCAGAGAGTGGCCAGGGTATGGTGGCCACAGGGATAGGGGCACAGGGTAGGGACAGGGTACACTTAGGTGAGAGGTGCTTCATGGGGCCAGATCAAGTGAGGTGAGTCTCCCAGGACCCTTGGGGTGTGTCAGATGGGCTGTGCCTCTCCCCACAACTGACACTAATGGCATCATCAGGACTAGTATATGACAGCATTATGGTCACCACACAGATGAATGGCCATCATCCTGAGTGAGGAGGCCGGGCTGTGACCTTGCTGCCTGGTTTGGCTCTCTTCAGCAGGGTGACCTGGAGCAAAGCTGCCTTGTGGTGCAGCATCTCCTGGCCTCTCCTCCCTCTGGAGTCTCCAGGCTAGCTCCCTCTCCCAACGTCCCTCCCAGACCCAAGTCAGCAGTGAGCCTTTTCTCAGCCTGGGTACGTTCACCGCCCCCTGTGAGGGCTCTGAGCCGGTTCCCCATCTGTGCGGGGTTGGAGATGGTACTGACCACTGGGTCCTGAGAGTGATGTATGCTGCAAAGGAAAAGGCTTAGCACAGGCCTGAAACTGGTGAGAACTGTGGGGTTTCCACCTGTGTTACCTTTAACAGCTGTGCAAATATAAGGCACCAGACTGGGAAGGCACATGCCTCATGGAGGATGATGACACTGTCTATCCTGGTCTCAGCACGTGGCTTTCTCTGTCCTCAGCACAGTTCTGGACACAGAGCATGGCCACTCCCATTTTACTGAAGGACACCAGCCCAAGGTCACACAGCTGGTAAGCAGCAGAGTTGGATCTCACTTAGGCTCCTGGCCCTACCCCAGGGACCACTAATGGACTCCCCAGATGGGAGGCTGACTTTGGCTTTGGGATCTTCCTCCCTCCATGAATGATCTCACTTGTTCAGGCCCCAAACTCTGTTAACTGCTTCTTTCTTTCCTGATCCCTGCTGCAGTTATACTGGACGGATGAACCCTGGCCATGCCATGGAATTCCCTAGGCCCCTTATAGTCATTCTCTCTCCCATTCACTTTAGGCCAGTCGGACTCTACCTCTTCTGAGCTGGTCTCTCCTTGAGACCAGGAGAATGGGACAGCCCAACACTGGGGCTCATTAGGCAGGCACAGCATCTAAAATCTGAAAGTGAACACTATTGGGTTTTTACACCTGTTCTGGTGGTTTGGTTTTGCTTGTTTTGTATGTTTCTTTGTATTTAGGTATTTACAGTGCCAGAATGGGTCCTGTTACAATACATTTACATAAAAATAAAAAGCTAGGGAGTTCAAGACAATGATTTTCAGCTGCCTTGGCCTGAATGAGTTAGGCGAATTGTGTCAATCATGAGGGAACTATTTAGAAGCTCAACTCAGGACAGGGCCCAGGAGAGATGATCACAGTGGGTTTGTCTGAGTCACCTGGGTCCCTGGTCCCTGCCCACCCACTGTGCCCTCCCTGCCCAGCTGCTGATAAGCTGCCAACACTCTGGTGTGTTGTCCCAGGTCCCTAGGGAGGAAGCTGATGAACCCTTAGAATGCTCTCCATTCCTGAGACCTCAGGAGATCCCATGTGAGTCAGTTGAATTCTCCCCTGAGGTTCATAATGTACAGCCCATGCTAATCGGTCAGAGGGTCACACAGATAAGTGACAGATCTACCACTGTTTGTGTTAAACTATCTAGGTCTGGGGCCTGGGTGGCTGGTTGGTTGGTTAAGCTCGACTTCAGCCAGGTCACGATCTTCAGATCCGTGGATTCGGAGCCGCACGTCGGCTCTGGGCTGATGGCTCAGAGCCTGAGCCTGTTTCCCATTCTGTGTCTCCTCTCTCTCTCTGCCTCCCCCGTTCATGCTCTGTCTCTCTCTGTCCCAAAAATAAATAAACGTTGAAAAAAAAATTTTAAAAAAAAATAAATAAAATAAATAAATGTCAGGTCAATTAGAGTGTATTGGGGACCAGACAATCTTCTCACACATATTCCAGAGATATTCCAGGCCAGAGACATTTTTGATTACATTTTTATCATGCTCCTATCATTTAGTTCAAATATAGCTCTTTTCTTTGGGATTTTTTCTTGATTCATATTCTACTTCTAGAGGAACTTCTCAATTTCTAAGCATGAATTTCTAGTTACCTCTTTATTAGTGATTTCTAGCACATTGTATTACCAAAACATGCTTTGTGATTTCCTTCCTCTGAAATCATTTCATTCCTTTGAAATTTCCTTATGGCCATAATAAATAGGGTGAATTTTTGTAACTGTATCCTCTGTGCCTAAAGTGAATGTGTCCTCACAGTGTTATGTACATGTGGACATGGATTATACTGTGGATTCAGATGGTTTGCTATCAAGATCTCTATCTTGGATGTTATCTATCTGCTTTGACTTTGAGAAAGGGTTAAACCTTCCTGTCTGCTTGCGATTTGATTGTTCTTGCAGTTCTGTCCTCCTTTGCTTTCTCTGTTGTTCAGCTATTGCCCATGGGAGGTGGGGTTCAGAAAGGAAAGAGAGAACACTCAGAAGGATTGACAGGGAGGCTGGGCTGGGAGGGCCCAGAAACCAGAAGGCTGGAAGTTTCCAGAGAGGAACTGTTGTTGGGATGGCACGTGGTGCACCAGGCAGGAAGCGCTTTTTAAAAATGAGGTCACATGGGTGTCCATATTGCTCTACCAGGGGTGAGGCAGCTGATTGACGAGAGAGAGTATAAAGGTTCTGGGTTGCTAAGGCAACACCCAGACGGTCTGGTGAGGCCTTGGAAGAAGAAGGATCTTCCTCTGCTCCACCTGCTCCTGAGAGTCCACTTAACCTGCTGTTTGTCCTGCTCACCTAGTGATTTACTGACCTGCTGACCTACTAACCTGTTGAACCCTCCCCTCCCCTCTTATACTTGATCTGATCCTGGTCTGTCCCTGACCCCTTCTTCTCCTGGACACACCCTTCCTTAACCCCATCCCCCTTTTATACACCTCCCCCTTTCCCACCCCCACTCACGCGCTCCCACGCCCACCCATACACCCCATCACCTCCCACCTCCTGCCTGGAACCCTAAGTCCCCTTAAGGACCAGGACAGGAAGGTGCAGAGGCTGTTTTCTGGCT